GGCACAAAAGCGGGACCCTCAGCTGCGTGCCGGGTGGCTTAAGGACTTAATCTGGGGAATAACTGAGAAGAGTTTTGGCAGGGAAGGGGGATGCAAGAATGACATTTTAACGCAGAAGGTGCTCCCGTTAGGCTAAAAGCTGCGTCAGAGATTTCTTTCAGGCTGGCTTGCTCCCTGGGAGCCTACGGGCTTTGCACGGGGCGGTGGGCACAGCAGTGCCGGGCTCGGCAATAGGACAGCCCCGAGCGCTCGCAGCCTGGCAGGGCTGGCAACCCTTTTGGGATGGCTTTGCTGGGTACCCGGTGCTGTGCAGCTCCAGCTGTGTGCCTGTCCTCCAGATGTTCACGCTGACGCCCTAAAGCCCAGGGGAGCTGTACGAGACCCCCCAGGGAGCCAGGGCTCACCCCAGGCTTTGCCTGTGCAGAAATGTTTGTGCCTTCCCCTGCTCAGGGGTGGTCCCACACCTCCGCCGGGCACGAGTCACGGCCGCTCCTGCCTTTTTGCACAAGCACCTGCTTGATAAATGCAGGAAGGCCCATTCATTTTGTGCGCAAGTGGCCGGTTATTCGATGCACGAGCACCCCGTCAGTTCACCCGTGAGTACCCAATGTATTGCACGAGGGGTTAAAGAGTGCAAACCCCAGCACTCGGTGAGCGCACGCGTGAGCACCCCGTTAATGTCTGTGGGTGCCCAGCTGGTGTGGGTGTGTGCCCAGCTAGCTCTGGTGTGAGCCCCCATATCTCGGGAGTCCAGTGCTGCGTAGAAAGGACAGGAGGAGCCTGGGGAGGCATTTCCCCAAATACCTTTTAATTATTTACATTTTCTGCTGCCTCAATACCCATACCAAGGATGAGATGCTTGTGTTAATTGGAAAAAATTAAAATAAATCAAACTTTCTCCAGCTGGGATTGTTTTGCCCCGGTCCCCCTCCTTGTCCAAAGGGCCGGATCCAGCCCCGCTCCGGGAGCAGGGGTGGCTGCAGCAGGCAGATGGGTGCATGGCCGAGCCACCCGCCTGGCAGAGCTGGACCAAAACCACCACGGTTTCAGAGCTGGCCGGTGAGAGAGGCACCGGGGGGTCCGCTCCCCTCTGCGTCCCCGGGGCAGCCCCCGAGCAGGAGCCTGCCCAGCCCGTGGGAAGGCGGCTGCCTTTAAACTTAATTCTTTGCTGCAGGCGCTTCGTTTGGAAAAGCGGCCCTTGGTTTGGGGACGCGTGCGGGGCTGAGGATGTGTCTCAGGAGGCTTCTGCACGCGGTAATTTATTTACAGGGGGATTTGTACCTGCTGATGCTCAGCTGGCAAAATCCCTCCCCGAGCAGAACAAAGAGCGGCACGGGGCTGGCTGTGGGGGGAGGAGGTTGCACGGCTTTGGATTCAGCGGCAAATGTTTGATAACAGGGACTTTATTCTGAAACACCTCTTCTGCCTCCCAGTGCATCCTTTGAGGTGGGGTGCCTTGCAAAACACGTGGGGTGAAGCAGGCAGGGTGCGTGGAAGTTGGTCTAAAAACCCGGTTTAATGCAAATTCGGACTGTGGAGCTTTTGGGGGGCTGCGGAGATGTGTTACAAAACTGCGGCTGGGTGCAGCTCTCCATTGGGTTCTCCTGGGGACTTCCAAAATCTGCTGGGTGGGTTTTGGTCTTACTAGATCAGGTACGTGAGGGCTGAAGGGTGAACTAACAGCTGGTACAGAGAGACATAAACAGGGCAGCGAGTCCTGTGCTGGGAAAGA